GTACTTGTAGCTATACGTCAAGCATATGTAGTACCACAAGTGCGAAATGCCAAGACTGCAAAAACGGCCCATCATTGGTGCAGTAATGTCTGCCGAGAATTGGCAGTAGTTACTGGGCCATTATTGGTGTTCTAAACGTCCCATTACTGGGCCAATGATGGCGCCGATGGTCAGAATTTCAAATTTTTTAAGACTGGGCCAGGTCTCGGCCCAATAATGGCACATTCATGGCAAAGTTGATCAATATTTAATGGCAAAAGACAATTGCCGGTGATGTGACGAAGATCGGCTCATTAATGGCTCATTATTGGCACTTTAATGGCAAAAAATTTGTATCTTTCATGGCAAATTATAATTGCCTGTATTGGGACGTAGCTTGGCTCAATAACGGCACAATATTGGTAAAGTTGATCAATCTTTAATGGCAAAATTCAATTGCCAGTGATGTGACGAAGATCGGTCCATTAATGGCTCATTAGTGGCACTTTAATGGCAAAAATTTTGTATCTTTGATGGCAAATTATAATTGCCAGAATTGGGGTGTAGCTTGGCCCAGGAATGGCACATTAATGTCTATCATTTTGTATCTATGATGGCAAATTATAATTGACAATATTGGGACGTAGCTCGGCCCAAGAATGGCACAGTATCGGCCAGTGTAGTGTAGCTTATAAGAACCCTTTTGCTTCCTCGACTTCAAGTCAGAGTAGCAGAGTGGTCAGAGTGTTAGGCTGTGGTGCGTCAGGTTCAGGTATCGATCCCCGCGAGAGGTAAGAATTTTTCAAATATTTGTAAGTTTACGTTCAATTTAGGGAAATAAGCCTTAAAAAATTTTTTTGTGAAAGTGGTACTTGTAGGTTTACCTACCTTGAGATACAAACCCGCAGTCCAAAAAGATGCCATAAATGAAAGATATCAAAATATAGAGCAAAAAGTATAATTCTAATTAGTTTAAATTTATACAAATTTCAACTTAAAGAATAAATTTTGTGTTACTATTTTTGCAAAAAAAAATTTGTAATTATTTTTGCATAGAATTTTATTAAAAATTTTTGAAAAAAGGGTTGCCACAAAAAATTAATTTTGTTTTCAAAAATTTTTTGCAAGATTTAAATTACATTTCACAAATAATGAAATTCTAGTCGCTGAAATTAAAAAAGCCTAAAATTAATAATTAAAGAGATTTTCATCGATATTTATGGATTACATACCTGAATTTTACTGGTGTTGCACATCACCCCAACTTTTTTGGAAAATGCAAAAACAGACGTTTTTGAAAAAGCGAAAAATTTGTAGGAAAAATTTAAAATTCTGAAAATCTAATAATGCAGAAATATTCTATTATAATGCCTCTAAGTCATTTAATTTTCAAATATTTAAAAATTTAATTATTTGACATGTTTTTCGTCCAACGAAAAAAACGTTGCACATCACCCCACAACACTCTATATAATAAAATTCGTTGCAAGAATCCAATTATTTTTATAAATAATAGAATTCTTCACAGGATTTCAATTATTTATAAAAATAATGTAATAAAAATTCGTTACAAAAATTCAATTATTCTCCTAATTAATAAAATTCTTTGCAGGATTTTAATTATTTTTAATATAATTTCAAGTAAATTCTTCCAAAAATGTAATTATTTTCAAAAATTTTATTAAAATTCTTTGAAAGAATTCAATAATTGTCAATTATTGTTAATAATTTTTGCAAAAGTTTCTTGAGAATTTTCAAATCCATTTGTTTACAATTGAATTTTATAAAATTTCGATTATTCATAAATTCTTCAATTAAATATCTAGAAAATACAAACTTGAAATAATTTCAAAAAAATTAATTCTACAGAATTGTCTGTTAAAAGTATGAAAAACTCAAATTTTCAAAGATTTTAATTTGCAACCTTTTCGAAATTCAATTATTTCTATAAAAATTCAGGCTATGATGCTTTTAATATTCAATTATATGATCCTAAAGTTCTGAACGTTCAAATGAACAAAATTTATTTATTTTCTTCTTTAATTTAAATATTTATTACAATAATTTTTTGTCGATATAAAATAAATGAAATATAACAAAAATTATATTATATTATTATATTATTATTATATATAATAATATATATTATATATATATATATTATTATTATTATTATTATATTATTATTATTATTATTATTATTATTATTATTATTATTATTATTATTATTATTATTATTATTATTATTATTATTATATTATTATTATTATATTATTATATTATTATTATATTATTTTTTTTATATAATTTAAGTTTTTAATTTTTATTGCAAACAATAAATTATAAAAACATTTCTAATAAAAAGTGTTTCGTTCATTTGAACGTTCAAAACTTGTGGATCATTCAATTATATAAAATTGTAACTGAAATTCATTTTTAAATCAATTTTTATTAGAAAATTCTACGAGAATTCATTTATTTAAATACAAAAATAAATAATTTATTGAGTAAATGAATGTTTCTCCAAATTGAATTCTCATAAAGAATTTTATCAACAAATTTTTAAATATTTGAATACGTTTGACAAATTTAAATATAATATTTTTTAGGAATAATTACATTTTTCGAGGGGGACGCATGAATAATCTCTAGAAATCATTAGTTAGAAGTTTTAAATGATTGAATTTCATTTATTAGAATTTTCTTTTAGCAGAATTTTATTTTTTTCGAATTTTTGTTTAATCGATTTTAAATTGACCCGAATATTTACATTAACAGTTTTATAAATACTCGAATTTTTATTTATGAGAATTATCATTTAACACAATTTCCATTAATGGTACTTTCCATTAAAATGAATTCTTATATTTATACGAATTTTTATTTACAACAACTCTTATTTTACATTATTTCTACTTAGTCTAGTTTTGAAAAGACATAATTTCCATTTCGGCGAATCTTTATTTCGCCAAATGTTTATTTTCATATTATCATTTGACAGAATTCTTAAAAGAACGAATGCTCATTTGTGCGAATTTGCAAATGGCCGACATAACAACATGCCGAAAGATTTCGGCGCCAGTTTCAAAACTGACCAATTAGAAAATGTTAAGAAAATTGTGATTGGTCAGTTTTGAAACTGGCGCCGAAATCTTTCGGCATGTTGTTATGTCGGCCATTTGCAAATTCGCACAAATGAGCATTCGTTCTTTTAAGAATTCTGTCAAATGATAATATGAAAATAAACATTTGGCGAAATAAAGATTCGCCGAAATGGAAATTATGTCTTTTCAAAACTAGACTAAGTAGAAATAATGTAAAATAAGAGTTGTTGTAAATAAAAATTCGTATAAATATAAGAATTCATTTTAATGGAAAGTACCATTAATGGAAATTGTGTTAAATGATAATTCTCATAAATAAAAATTCGAGTATTTATAAAACTGTTAATGTAAATATTCGGGTCAATTTAAAATCGATTAAACAAAAATTCGAAAAAAATAAAATTCTGCTAAAAGAAAATTCTAATAAATGAAATTCAATCATTTAAAACTTCTAACTAATGATTTCTAGAGATTATTCATGCGTCTCTTTCGAGAAATTCGATTAAAATTGTATTAAAAATAATTGAAATTCTATGATAAAAAAAAAAAAAAAAAATAATTTAAAAATAATTAAATCTCTTTAAAAAATTTTATTATTTAGGAAAATATTTAAGCTTCATTAAAAATTTGAAAATAAATAATAATAATTAATTATTTAAGTGAATCTTTTAAATTTTCGATCTGAAATTCAAACTTAAAAATTTGAAAATACAAATATTGTAATTTTGTAATTGAATTTAAATAAATATTATTTTTGATTCAAGTAAATATTTATTTGTACAGTCGATTAATTGAGTCAAATGAAAATCTCTTCCGCTGTATTTTTATTATTTAAAAAATATGTTAAAAATGTGAAAAAAAGTCTACAATAGGTAATAGCAGTTATTTTTTTGCGCTTAAATTATCAATGAAATATAATAAAAAATCAAGTCCGCGATAGTATTATGCTGATGCTTGATAAATGACATTTTCTCTACACCGATTTATTTGTTTCTGTTTTTTAATGTGCAATCGAAAAGTTGGCCGCGAATGTAGACAGCTCTCTTCTGTATATATTTTTCTCGTCGTATATTTTACTAGCTTTCACAAACTTTTTTGTCGTCCTATACTTATAGCTTTTCCAGGAGCTTTTCTTTTTGATGTATCTTACAAACAACCGTCCAACTTTAATCTACGACGATTTCTGAGATATTCTTTTTTTTCTTTTCTTTTTAATAAATTCTCGAAAAGATTTTATACTTTGATTGAATAATTCCTTTTCGGTAAATATTTTTCTTCCTAGACTCTTTTTAATGAATTGAAATTTTATTTCGTAACTAATTTCTTAAAGTTAACTTAGTTCAAAGTAAAAAAAAAGAAGAAGAGTTAATTTTTAAAGAAAAGTAATATTTAGTTTTCCTAATCTTCTTAATAAATAGAAAAGAAGAAAAAATATTATTTCAATGGTAAAGAAAGTAAAATTGATTGTTCAAGACTTAGAATAATAGAACTTTCAAGTGAATGAATAGTAAAATGTTTTTTTGTCCTTAAATTTTTTTTTAAATAAATTGAAACAACATGAATTTTCTGTGAAAATAAAAATCTCTAGTGCTCTTTGAAATTTACAGTGTGCTCTCTTCTCTCATTCTCTCTTTCTCTCCCTTTTTCGTCCAACGTCTCCATAACGAGAAAAAGAGTTGTGTTTTGAAAATAAAAGGAAATTGTGTATCGAGTCTCGTCGTCTCGGGTCATCTCTCTATCTTCTATTTCAAAGAATAGAATCCAATAAGAAAAGTACAATCGTAAACACAAAGAATAAAAATTTATTTTCCAGAAAAGAAAACAATTCAATCATGAAAGTTTCAAGTCGATCTTCTTATTCTGCCTTTCTTTCTTTCTTTTTTTTAAAGAAAATTTTTTATTTTTTTTTGCTTTCAGGTGGTGGTGACAGCAACAAAGGGAAGAGTAAAAAATGGAGGAAAATACTACAATTTCCGCACATATCCCAGTGCATTGGCCTAAAAGATAAATTGGGTGAGTAGACAATTTTTTAATTTAATTTTTTTATTCATCGCAGAAAAAAGCAGAACAAAATTATATGTGGATTGTTTCGAATTACGTTTTTATACTTTCTTTATAAAAAATAAAACAAAATTTAATTTCTTTTCAAGTATATGAAGCTGAAACTGACACCCAGTTATCAGCAGTTATACTTACTTTTAGAAATTAAATTTTAAAGTTAAATACCGCGCATCTGCAAATTTTTTAAAGGCTATTTTTTGTGCAATTTGCTATGCATTATAGCCCTTAATGAATTTGAAGATACGTGGAATTGCAGTAGCTTGAGCGAAATATACTATAGTGTCACAGGGTGTCTACTAACCGGGAAAACCGGGAAATAGCCGGGAAACGAAATTTCTAAATAACATTTTTATGAAATCGTGTACTATGTAAGGAAACAACTATCATTGGTCGATATATCAGATCATTAAAAAATTTACGGGAAAAATAAATCTTTTGTTCAGAGAATTTTACCTCAGCATTAAGTATTAGAGGAAATAATTTTTCTTGTGTTTGAAATTAAAAAATTAATTTCTGTTTTATTTATAAAGTGTTACTAAAATGTTTAAAAGATTTACTTAGAATGACGTTCAATTGTTAAATCCTGTACGGTATTAAATTAAAAAATAAATTTTACGTAAAATTCTGTATACTTTTCAAGTGTAATTATTTATTGACAATGAAACGGTGTTATTTTATAAATAAAAACAAATTTTTAGGTTCTTTAAAATTTTGTTTTATACTTTTTTATTATGATTAATATTAAATTACCACTTATACATTATTAATATTTAAGGTGTTATATGCTTCATCATATACTTGTAGTGAAAAAAAAAGTTAATATCTTAAACCGAGCGAAAAACCGGGAATTCAAAAACTGAAGAATAGTAGACACCCTGGTGTGTCATTTTGATACAAAAATTTAGATCAATTTTTTATTTGATCCACATTTTGGTATCAAATTGATACACTTTAGTATTAATTTGATACTTTCAAGAAAACTGTATTAAAAAAAACAGAAAGTTGCTCAGTATTCTTTAAATAAATTCAAATTTATACGAAAACTTAATAAAAAAGGGTGTACACTGAGAAAACATTATCTGGGTTACCACAAAAATTTAATTTTGTTTTTCCCTGACTTCTCCCTGATTTCCAGACAAAATGTTGACTTTTTCAGGGCTCGAACATTCCTACACAGTTAAAAGTAACTTTCTGAAATTTTCAACTCAAAATTTTGAGCTTTGTGTGAGTTATGGAGGGGGAAAGAAAAATCAAAAAACGCATTTTTCTCGAAAACTACTGAATTGATTTTAATGAAATTTAAATATGTTAAAAGACAAGTAAAGAGATTACAAAGAAAAATTTTCGAATTTTGGTTCAAAAAAATTCCAAAAATTTTTTATTTTCAAATTTTCAAAAAAAATTTTTTGTATTCTATTGAAGAGCGACACCTCTAGTTATGCTCTCGTTTTACTCTCTTAACTATCCTACTTTATAAAAAAATTATTCCCATCATGATTTCAAGGTGCGTCAAGGTGAAAAACTCAAAAAACATTACCCGGTACATCACTGCAAAAACAAGTGTCTCATTTTGAGACGTTTTGTCCCATATTTGAAACACATAAGATGTCTTAGTCCACATATTTGAAACAGATATGTGTCTCATTTTAAGACGTTTCAAAGTGTCTTACACATTTAGCAATGCATTTTGAGACACGAAATGTGTTTCGAGTATCCGTCTCACACTAAGAAGACGTTTTACGTGTCTTATACGCATTGAGTTACCTTTAATGTCTTAAAATGAGACACGAGATGAAATTAAATGTCTCAATATAAAACAGATTTTGTATCTCAATGGTTTAAAGCAACTCATTTTAAGACACGAGTGAGATACCACTTTTTGCAGTGATGTTTATGTAGTATATGACTGGTTAATTTTCAGAAATCTATGAAATTCTTTTACAAATTGTTACTTAGGGGTTTTCTGAATATTTTTGTAGCATATGTCAGGTTTTAAAAAAAATTCATCAAGGTGCTACTATTCAATAGAATTATAATTTTTTTTTTAAATTTCAAAAAAAAATGCAATTTAAAAAAAAATTTTAACTTTTTTTACATTAACTTCCGATTTGTATTTAAAAACCCTTAAGTAGTAGTTTCTAAAAAAATTTCATAGATTTCTGAAAATTAACCAGTCATATACTACATAAAAATGTACCGGGTAAAGTTTTTTGAGTTTTTTACCTTGACGCACCTGGAAATCATGATGGGAATAATTTTTTTATAAAGTAGGATAGTTACACTGAAAAAAATACATGAGACATTTTCAACTACATCCCCTTAGTAGAGTAAAAAGTAATAAAACGAACTACTTTTTTAGTTAGTCTGGCTACTTTTGATACTTATTTTAACTGTTTTATATGTAGTTAAAAATTATTAATTAAATTAATGTAATTTTACAGCTAACTTTGTAACTGCAGGTATGTTATAGAAATGACTACAGAAAGTAGTAGATTCTACTACTTAAAGTATTTCGATAGACTAATTTTGTAGTAGTTTTTACTTCTTCTAGGAGTTGAATTATTTTCCATGTAATTTATGTTATAGATTTTTATAGAAGATTATCAACTGTGAAAAGTTGTAAATGCAACTACTTTAAGTAGTAAAATTAACTACAGTTATCAGTTGAACTGTGTCAGGAATGCCTTTAAGTATTAAGCAACTCATCGTAGCGGGCGAGCGTGGTTAGGTGGTTAGGTTATCGGTTTACGAATGTTAGGGTCGAGCGTTCAACTCCCGACGTTTAGAGATTTTTCTCCGTTAGGTATATAGACATTAAATAAATAAGGTATAGGTAAACAAAAGTGGGTAGGGGGAAATATAAAAAAATACAACTCGATAATATTTATAATAAATTATAAATAATTTTATTTTACCATTTTCAGTAGTTGTCTTTATTACTGAGTTATCTTAGTAACTTTAACTACATATCAGCAGTTAATTCTACTGCAAAACTGTCATTGGTTCCTATTTAACTAAGAAAAGTAGTTAATGCAACTGTATTACCACTTCATTCAACTACATATCTGATAATTAATGTAAGTTCAAAATTATCTTTGGGGACTTATTGAACTAAGGAAAGTAGTTAAAAAGTAGTCAAATCTACTAAGAATTTTTTTTAGTGTACACGGAGAAAAAGGGATTGTTACATCTACTAGCGGATTGTTAATATAGAACTAGCAAATCTGATTTGTTGTTTCAACAATTCTTTTTGTTCTCTTAACAAATTAATTGTTATCACAACAATTAATTTGTTGTATTATTTGTAATAATATATTAAATATTTAAGAAATTTAACTAATTGCAGAAGAATTTGAATTAATTACAATTTTTCAAAAATGTAAGTTCTTTAAAATTTCTAATTGAATTCATTCAAAATTTAAATTTTATAAAATTTCAAATTGAAACCTTTTGAAGTTCATTGCTGTCAGAAATAGAAAAATATTGAAGGTTTTTGTATTATAGAATTCGTGGTAATTTCATAGTTTATGAGGCAAACAAAAAAGACACGAAAGTTCAGAATTTTCTTATGAATTCTAAAAATTTAATTTTTTCCAGTAGGGGAGACCGGGGCGTAATGGCTAACTTTTCACTCTTTGTTGTTTTACTCGGACATTTTTGTTCTAATTAAATGTTTATCTCCCAGAAAAGTTACTCTGGTATCTCAGCTTTCTTTTAAAACTACAAACGTCCCGATATGACTCTTACTTTTTTTGCTGCAAAAGTACAATAACTTGTCTATCGAGCGAAATTATTTCGATTATTACGGTTTTTAAATAAATTACAATTATTCATTACGCCCCGGTCTCCCCTACTTTTAATAAAAATCCCTGACTTTTCCCTGATTTCCCTGACCAATTCTACTTTCCTTGACTTTTCCTTGACATGTGGCAACCCTGTATGGTAAAATAGTTGATTCCTTGTAAACGGGTGCAAGGTATTCTTTTGAGTGTATGATTTAAATAACAACAAGGGATAAATTTATAAGAAATTTCTAATTTTAGAATATGAACGAATTTTAGCTCGAAATTGAATGTCTTCTCGTTGTGAATAAAAATTCCTTTCGTTGTAATGAATCTTTATGACCAGCTGCAAGTGCAAATATTTAGCAGCAAACGTTAAGGACGCATTCGCGTACAGAAAACATTAATAGAATGTGCCATAAAGAGCAAAGTTCTTGAATTCAATGAGAAGACCTACAATAATAGTAATAATAATAATAAATATTATTTTTGCAAAATTAAAGATACGATAAAAAAATTGCAAGTAAGCGAAAGTGTTTTTTTAATTCTGCAAATTCTTCGTTATGTTTACACTTAGGAAATATAAATATAATTTAATGTTTAGTTAATAAAACTAAATATAACTTGATTTAATTAACAAATAATTTAGAGCTGTGCAAAATAATTCGAACCGAACTGTTCGAATTCTTTCGCCTAGTTCGAATGTCGAAAATTCGACATTCGCGTTAGCTTAGTTCGAATGTCGAAAATTCGACATTCGAGTTAGCTTAGTTCGAATGTCGAAAAACCGACATTCGACATTTCGGCGCCCCAAAACCGAACCCATTGGTTGCTTTCACTCGTGAGCTATACTCAATTGGCTGAATTCATATTTTCTATCTTTGTCTTTTAAACACTTGAAATAGAGAGGTTCATTCACTATACGAACATATACTTACACATTAAAATAAAAGTAGTGTGCGTAAGAGGGCTATATTCCCTTTATCCAAATCTTTTTCATCATCTTCGTCTTTCAAGTACTTAAAAAAAGAAAGTCTCAATCTATTTTGGAAATACGTTCGTGAAAATCGTTATCTTAATTAACGCGATTCCTTCAGATATATTATTGACTTAATAAAGTGATTTAATCCAATTAAATAAATTATAAATTAATAAATTATTATTGATAAG